TAATTTGAAACAGTATTTAATATAATTTAATTACAGTTTTTACAAATTTGAAAAATGTTTATTTGCAAAAAAAATATTTTAAAATTCAATAATGAACATGTATTTTGTTTCACTACAAAAATGTGTGTTATGACAAAACTAATATAAAAAATAAATTGTAGACAAACTTGCTATATAGACAAACTTGCTATATAGACAAACTTGCTAGGGTGAATCGTTGAACCAACTTTTTATCCTATGAGAAAATTATCGATTTTATATCTAATTGAATTATAACGTGTGCAGTCAATTATTTTCTGATATGATTAATCTTCTGCATAATTTTTTATATTTACGTTTGGAAATCGATGAATAATTTTTTAACACTAAAATGTTTCTTGTGTTTTGAGTTCCATATTTAGAATAAGATTCGTAAACATCCGTTATTAATTTAGAAGTGACGATCTTATTTATCCGATTGAAAATAACTTCATTAATTTTTAATAAATACTTTAATGTCTTATAAATTTTATTAAATTTATATATTAGGTGTTGGAATTAATTCGTAGCGTTTTACAAGTGATGGGAAGTACTTTCATTAATGTATTTTTTAATGCTCATGTGAAATAAATAACATTCTTTCATTAAAAACGCTACGAATTAATTCCAACACCTAATAAATTTGTAAGATATTAAGAAACATTAAAGAAACAATATAAATTAAACTAAGATATTAAAAAACAATAAAGTATTAAAATAATATATTAGATTTATTAAATTCAATGTCGAAGTCAGCTTATCAATAAAATTATATTTACATTTACTCTTACCTTTAACATAATGGGTTAAAGGGAAAAATGCCGTATCATCAGAAAACGTATCAATTTTTGGTACAAGAGGCATGTCGTAATGATCATTCAAACGAAGAGACTCATGTTGAAACTGTACTGCGAGTAAATCCATTAATTGAGGGTTTACATACTACAATAATAAAAATATGAATACGTTTAAGTAATTTAATTAGATCATATAATATACACTGTTTACTATCAAAAAATAATTTTTTCACTGTTTTTTATTATAATAAAAAATATAATAACATTTCCTAAAACAAATTATAATTTATTGAAAATTGATTGAATTATTTAATAATGATTCATATTCTCTCTCTCTCTTTCTCTCTCTCTCTCTCTCTCTCTCTGATTTTGTGTGTGTGTGTGTGTGTGTATAAAATTTCAATTTTTAGAGTATTTTCATGAGTATTTTCTAATTCAATTTATATTTCTGATCCCATTGAATTAAAAAAAAAATTGAAAATCAATATTTAGTAGTCTTAAAAAATAAAAATAAAGTATACGAGTTTTCTATAATCTATCAGTTAGCGTTTTTTTGCTAATAAAAAAATATTTATAATAAAACAACCTTGTTGAGAAGCTTCATTGCATAAAACGTAGCAATACCCTCGTTTAACCACAAATAAGACCACTTAGATTGGCTGATCAAATTGCCAAAGAATTGATACACCATTTTATGTGCTATTATACGTGCTAGTTCAAATTTCCGTGCAACAGTATCTAATTTTTCATCGTAAAGAACAAGTGATTCCCTACAATAATAAAATACCAGTCAAAGATCTTCTTTTGTTATAAATAATGAAATTATTTTGATCTGATGTTAAAAAAGTCATATTGTTTTATGTGAGGTGTAAATGATGTACCGTAAATATACATTGTTCTATATATGCGTTAATACATAGTATAACAAATCATATTTTTTTATTTTTATGTAATTGAACTGATCTAAAGTACAATAACATGAGCATTTATTTAAATTTTGCAATTCTAGGAAATTTAATAAAACATAATTTTTCTAAAATGAAAATTTTACTTTTTAATATATATAAATATTAGGTGTTGGAATTAATTCGTAGCGTTTTACAAGTGATGGGAAGTACTTTCATTAATGTATTTTTTAATGCTCATGTGAAATAAATAACATTCTTTCATTAAAAAACGCTACGAATTAATTCCAACACCTAATAATACCTATATAGAACGAGTCCCCAACTTTCCAAACCTTCGTCTTTGAAACCAGGGATTATAACATAATTTGTTTTACGTGGAAGCTTTGAGTTCTTAAATACAGTTCTTAAATATGATTCGAAGTTTTCAACTAGGTCCTGTGCATATTTTATGTCCTTAGGCTGCACATATCGTCTGCACCACCAGCGCGACTTAGAATCAAAACAATTTGAAAATTCGGACAATACAATCGCTACTTGATAAGGGGATATTTTATCAGTTGTTTCGAAGTGTGTTGTAACCGCGATGTTGTTTCTAAGTGCGTTGTTGTGTGGTGTTGTTTCTTCTGTACGTATAACGTCCTTCGCACTCGATAAAGCTATATAATTTGGTTGATGAGTTATGGAAATAGTAAAGTTGGCTCTGAGAGCTGATATGTCCAAGGATGGAAATATTCGTTGCGCTCCAATCCCTTGGAAATCTGCTGCTACGATTATCCACCTGTCTCATTTTAAGTATTTTTGTATCATCTTATGTTTTCAATTATTTCCGGCATATAAGTATTGAAGGAAAAAAATGTTGAAACATGACTAAGAGGCAATTGAAGAGAGTGATATATATGTAGCACATTATATGAATTATTACATCTTCTTTGGTTTTTAATATATTATATAATAGATAGTAATATTTTATATTAGATATTTATGTTACGACAAGTTTATTATATTTATATTGTTATTAGTATATATAATACGCAAAATAATACGTGCATATTTTATGCAAATAATACTTAACATTTTATCTAGCAAATGTTATTAATTCTTTTAGATTTTTACTACTCACTTTCTTTCTCCTATGTCGTTCTCATAGGGTATTTTGAAGAAACCTCCTGTGTTATCAGTTATTGTACCAACAAATTTCATGAGTAATTGATACAAATAATACTGACACCCTTGTGTAAAACTATGATCAATAGTAATAAAAGTTGTTTTATTATTAAATAAACCATGTATCTTTTCCTGATTCAAGTGTAAAGTTTTATAATTAAAAAACATTCTTCCCGTATAATATACTTTTAAGCCTTTTGTATTCAGTTGTATAAAATTTACTCCATTTGTAAGGTAAAAATTCATACTGGATTCACCATAAAAAATAAAATTGCCTTTTGCTCGTTCATTATCAATATATGTTTTTACTTCTCCTGTATAAAAATCTGTATTTATATAGTTTTCGTTCGTGTATATCGTTAAATTAATGTGATAGTGTATTAGTTTCAATAATGTCTCGTCAGTTATAGGAATTATTTCATCTGGTAGAAAATTACTTGTAATAGCCCTTGCAACAATGAGTATTTTTAGACTAGCTAGACTTAATAACAATTTTATCAATTCCATGGTAACCATCATTTCAGATATCTGTAACAATTAATGTTTTGTTGTCAGAAGAAAGAAGAATGCATTGTCCAATAAGAGAAGTTCGCCATTGCAATTTATATACAAAATTTAGCAAATTTTTCAAGAACTCCGAAAACATTAAAAACAATTAGTGTATTCGCATTTAGAATTATTTAGAATTAAAGTATAATCTATTATATTTATCTTTAAACAAACAATAGATTTGTCTCTTACCTCTTACATTGAAATTGTATTTCTGAATAAGATATAATTTCTCCTGAAAATTTACGGTTAAAAATTGATCGTTATAAGCAGAAGTACGTTTAAGAAATCAACCTTACATGTCAAAAGTTTATCGAACATTAGCGATATTAATATCATAATAAATATTGTGAAAATTTCTTTTTGAAATCATAACAAGTGTAACATAACTGCGTATAATTGTATTGTATAATGTTTATTGTATTATATAATTTTATAATTTAGTCAAATAAATCAATATTATATTTGCTAAATTCAAAATAATATTGGGTCATCTAAAAAGTATCCGCGGTACTTTGTCACTAGATATATGACCATCAACACACATCTAGTGACAAAAAACCGCGGATACTTTTTAGATGACCCAATATTTTTTCTCCGGAAATATGCATCTAATTAAAAAATTTTATTCGTACAATGTATCTATATTTGTAATTTATTAGATTTTTCGATTAAGGTAGAGCGAAGCTAGTTATGATTTTATTTCAGTTATTACTTTTTCAAATTATTATTCAAATTATTATAAATCTTCAATTATGATATAATAATGAGAATAACAAACGTTGCGTATTAATCCGATTCAATAATTTAATACTTATATGTAAATACATTTTGTAAATAAGAGAAAAATTTTGTTAATTATAAAGTTATATTTAATTATATAACAAAAAATATATGTATATAACATAAATATATATATAAAGCATGGTTCTCATGCGGCATATTGAGCAAAAATTAAAGTTGTGTAAGTTATGAAGGCAATTGTTAAATTATTAAAGTCTTACAAACATTACTATGTTCATTATTTCCCAAATTTACAATGCTTTGCACATTATATTCTTTTTAGATCAATATAAAAATAAATATTGAACCATAATTACTACTATTTCTTCAAATTTCTAATACATTTATCAATAAATGTATTAACGATCATCGATGATGTGTACTATTAAAGATTAAAATATTAAAAAGGATTATCTACTAATTGGTAATACGTAAATAAAATAAAACTAATAATAAAATATAAATGTTTATTGAGATAACAATTTATTTATATATATTTGTAATATTGTTAAATGGTTATTTATTTGGTTTGCAAAAGAATTTCTGAAATACTCAAAGTCTATCAACTTCATATTTCATACTTTTATTTTGTTTTTTTGTTAGCGTATAAATTGATTGTTAAAAAAATATTTTCTAACAAAATCACTCATATAAAATAGTTCATATGTCGATATATTTAATTATATAACAAAAAAATATATATATGTACATAACATAAATACATATATAATTATACATATAATATTGTTAAATATAATTATACTTATAACATTGTTAAATATTAATTCTTTGTCTTTAAAAATCTCTCGAAGTAGCCAATGTGTTTCTGTATTTGTAACAATCGTAACTCTATTTTTTTATCAATGTAATAAAGATTAAAAGAAGAATATACTTTTTCTAATAGTGTATATTTCACCTGAAATCAAAAATGTTGATATTCATTAATATATAATTTATTCTTTTTAAGGCATTATGCCTTCACAGCACATCAAGTACATTATTTTTTATCTCATTTCAAGAATTAAAAAAACAATAATTGTGAAAGAAGAACTAACTAGAGTTTATCAATAAAAAATAGACAAAATTATAGTCCGGTTCTTATATGTATTTAATTCTGATGGCAGAAATCGAGACGTAAAGTCGGGTTGAGAATATAAGAGAAGATAAAGAAAAATGTATACGTAAATCATGAAAGGTTACACGTCTACAATTGTTTGTACCAGCAATAATTTCGAAGAAAATTGATTAAATCGCTTAAATTAGGATATGGTATATGTATATTTATAAAATTTACCTTGTCAATTTGTTGTGTAGAATATATATAATTGATAATGTCTGCTACCGCTATAAGCGTTTCAATTTTGCTAAAAATAAAATCAGATATAATTGATTAGTACATATAATAAATTTTTATTTTAATTAATATGTATTTATAAAATATTATTACCTGGGTATTATTGATACTATTTTTTCAAAATTGATTAATATATAATTGAGTATTAAATCATTCTTTGCATGTCTTGCAATAATAGAATGAAAAACTGTAATGCGATGTTTTAATTCAGTAAAATATCCCGATATCAATTGATCGATATAGTTAATAATGATAATATTATTTTCGGAACATGCTAGATATTCTAAACGTTTATTGTCTAATGCATCTGCAGTTAACACTTTGTTCCAAGTAATATTGTTTGCTAACATCATTCCGTTACGATACATCCATTCCTTCCATCCCGGAAAGATTCTAGAATGTGTGTTAATTTGTTTTTTAGAATGTAAATGATTATAAATCATGTCTCCTAACGCTACAATCGGATTGGTCTTACTGTAAAATAAAAATAAACATTTATTACAATTAACTTTTTGCCATTTTATATTTTGATAAACAATAATAAATTAAAAAATTCTTAATATGTAAAAAAGAATAAAATTAAGCGAATAGTCACTTATTGGAGTGCAAGTAACAAATATATATCGATCAATTACACCTTTACATTACAAACATTTCAGCTCCATTTTGGACCATTAGTAGTGTAATTGACATTAGAGAGTTCTTAGATATTCTAAACTACAAGCTAAAACAGCCGGCACACTATACTTCTAGTGTGTTTCAATCTTTATATATAATCTTTATATATAATCAAATCAATTGAATTAAAACCGACTCAAACCTGTTAATGATTGACGCAAATCTTGCTCACTTAATTTCTTTCTTTTTTTATATTTATTCTATATTAAGATTAATTAGAAAAAAGAATTAAAAGAAGTATTATTCATACGGATCTGGCTTTTCATAAAATCGTATTAAATGAGAAATAGCAGAATTAGTACAGTCTTCAGACTTCAGAAGGCATGCCCATCTTGCGGCTTCAAATCTTAAACTTTTAGTAAATTCATTCTCCTCTATAATGTCTAAATATCCAATGTTCTTCAAAACATTATCTAAGATATTCCGAAAGTGTTCCTAAATATTGATAAATAACATAAATTTTATATTGATTTGTCATTACAGTAACAAGTATCACGATATGATATATATATTAGGTGTTGGAATTAATTCGTAGCGTTTTTAATGAAAGAATGTTATTTATTTCACATGAGCATTAAAAAATACATTAATGAAAGTACTTCCCATCACATTAAAAACGCTACGAATTAATTCCAACACCTAATACGTTTAAGAAATACCTTCATATTTTAATTCCTTTACAATTATATTAATAATTATTAATTGTTGATGAAATTTATTACTATTTACCTTAACTTCGGAACTTTGTGGAAATGAGAAAAATCCCGATATCTGTTCTAAAATTTTGAACATAGGATACCACGCTATATAATCTGTTTCTTTTGATAAATAATACGTGAGTGTTTTGAATAGCTTGAAATCAAGTTTGTTTGTTGACAAAAAATAATATGCATCATCTATGATTTGAGCACGATTCAAAACTTGTATATTATAATATTCCATTGAATTTAGATAGTCTCCAAGTAATTGCCAAGTATCGTTGTCATAATTAACACGATAATATCCTGTATATAATGCACAAATTTCATTATTAAATATGCAACAGTATGTGAAATCTTATTTACATCATAGATATAAAAGCATAACACATTTATTGATTTATATTCACCAGCTTGTTGTATATTAATAATGATCCAGTGATTACTGTAAACGTAAATAGATAAAAAATTTGACTTTTCTAGCCATGCGTTATGTATAAGATAAGGATTCCTCTGTGTAATATAAGTTACAGGTATCGACAAATTTTTGGGGCATGGTTCAACTATATGTACTTTAACCTCTCTTAGGAAAGATAGGAAGGAAAATGTTCGCTGCACCTTCAACACGGGATAGCGCTCTTGTTTTGCCCATTGAGTGAATATCTTTATTACGTCGATAGGTTCTATAATATAATTAGCTTCCTCTATTAGATTTTTTTTTATGATACCCAAAAACTTTTCAAAAGGAGTTGTCGAAGTATTGACAGATTTAAACTTGCTAAATTTATAAAGTTTAACATTAAAGACAGATTGCATTATAAATATATATAAAATGGCTACTCTATTTATTCATATATTTTATTTCTATGCAATTTTTAATTATAATATCCGTTATTACATCTGATTATAATAAATAATTATTATATTACAGTTGTGTATATGTGTGTTTTACTTACTAATTTAATATATAATCGTTGATACTTATATGAAGTATATCTTCAGGTAGCATTTTATCTAATGAACGTATAAAGACAGGTGCTACAACAATTATAATCTCTATTTTAAAAAGAGTTGAAGTATGTTTAAAATAGTTTAAATATGGTTTTAAATTTTTAAATGTAATTTATTTGGTAGAAAAGTATAAAATTCAAATTCTCTTAGTTCACATACGTATTTTTTATCTTACTTACTTAAAAAGTGTCTCATAATATAACTAATAAACATATGTTCATAATTTTGTAATATAATCAAAAAAATTCACATGAAAACATACATCGAAAACCTAGAATAAAATTTTTTCAAGCAAAGCCTTGTTTCTGAAAAAAGTGATTTTAAATATTCGCAGAATATAAATTTAATTGATAAGTTAGAAATTAAAGCATTAGAATATCTTAGATGGCTTTTATAAAAGTTTATTTTAAAGGGCAGAATTATATATTTGACAGAACAGACAACATTTGCAACAATTTATAAAGTAATAAGATTTATGTGCGTAAACAAACAAGAGGAAAAATAAAGATCCACTGTGTGGACCCTTATTTTTCCTCTTGTTTGTTTTTATTATTGTACCGGGTCAATCAAAAGTACAAAATAAAAACAAGATATTTACGCACATAAATCTTATCCATCAAATTGAAACATAATTAAGGGTACATATACTTCGCGAGTATAATCGATTCGCTCGAAAACAAAGCTTCCATATGAAAAAAAATCTTATTCTCATTTTTGATTTATCTTTTCACATAGAATCATCCCTTTCTCGATTGTACAATAAGTTTAAGAACATCTTATAAATAAATTATTAATAAATATAATTATAATTTATTTTGCATATATTTTTCATTTTTATATTTAAAATTTTTCTGTGGACAATTATTTAACTACATCTTGTTTTTCTTACCTTTAATATAATGAGTAAAAGAAAAAATTGAATTAATGTCAGATGGTGTATCAATTTCGTATACGAGAGACATATTATAATAATCATTCAAACGGAGAGATTCATGTTGAAATTTCACATCAAATAAATCCAACAATTGATAATAATCTGGTGAAAAGTACTAGAAGTGACAAAAATTGAATGTAATTAAATTGTTGTTCAATCGCAATTTATAATAATGCACATTAACAATTATTAAATAAAAATGTTTTATTTCTTAGAAAACTATTCTTACTACTAATTAAAATATTAATAATTTAAAAAATAAGTTCCAGTTTATAATAAAAATTATAATGCATTCAAATTATTTGTCACAAATTTTTATACTCCAATCATAAATTACCTCAATTTAAGAATGCGTTTTATTTCAATATATTTTTATGTTTTAGATTATATTATTAATTAGTTTTTTTAATTATTTAATGACGTAGAAAGTTTATTTATAGAGGACAACCTGATTGACAATATTAATTGCCAAAAATGTAGCAATACCCTCGTTTAACCAAAGATGGAACCATGAAGGTTGGGCTACGAGATTGCCAATGTATTGATGTGTGATTTTACGTGCTATCATGAATGCCACTTCAAATTTCCAAGCAATAAAATCTAATTTTTTATCGTAGAGGACATTAGTCTCTCTAAAAAATAATAAAACAATTTAGTCAAAAGTCTTATTATTATATGTATTGAATTTAATTTTTGTTTAATATATGATATCTTTTCAATATACAATGTAAGTAATATGAGATGTAAATGTATATTATCCTATACATTCGTTATAAGACGTTGTATTAAGTTATGTTTTTCCATTATTTAATATTTAATATTAGAACTAATTTAGACGAATGTTAAACGCACTTAATGTTAATAACATTAAGTGCATTTCTTCAAATGAAGAGATTCAAATTTCTTTTTTTTATATGAAAGCATTACCTATAAAGAATAATTCCCCAACTTTGCATGCCTAAGTCTAAGAAATCTGGAATTACAACATGCATCACTGTGTCTAGAAATATTATGTCGTTAAATTTTAAATAAAGTGTGGTAAAGTTAACAATTAACTGTAAGAATTCCATGTCTTGTTGTACTTGTTCTCTGCACCATATGTTTGAGTCATCAATTTGTTTAAAATCGTGCAATAAAATCATTACATGGTGAGGAGATATTTTAGCGGTTGGTTCGAAATGTGTCCAATTCTTTTCATGCTTAACGCTGAACATATTAGTAACTTTTGTATTCGATAAAGCCCTATAATATTGATCATGCTTTATGGAAATAGTAAAATTGGTCCTGGTATCCGGCTCATCCCAGCACGGAAATATCTGTCGGGCCCCAGCCCCTCGCAAATCAGCTATGAATAACCATCTGTAACATTTAAACAATATAAATTTTTAAATTTTTAATCATCGGTATATGAGTATTAAGAAAATAAATACTTGGCGCGAGATAGAATAACGGCATTGTAATTAAATGTGCAATAAGATTTTTATTAAAAATTTATTTACTTCATAAAAGTCAAAGTATGAGGTAAATACACTTTTTATTGGAAATCTTATAATGCGTTAATTACTGCCGTTATCATTAGTTGTCTTATATATTTGTTAAGAGACATTTATTAAGAGACACTATACTGTGTCAACAAACATATAAGACAACTGATAATAACGACAGTAATTGATTATAATATTTCCAGCGATATAAGATTTCCAGCAAAAATTGTATTTATTTCATACTTTAATTTTCAGAGTATGAAATAAATAAATTTTTAATGAAAATTTTATTGCGCACAATTTTATTTAATTACCGCACCGTTATTCTCAGCTGTTTTATGTTTGTTAGTATTTATGTTACAAAATGTTAATAATATAAATTTTTAGATTATTATGCAAATTAATTGTAAATGTAAAATATTTTTTTTGCAAAAATATTTTTTTTTTAAATAGAACTATTAATGTTTCTTAAATAATTTTTATATAGAAAATATACTTAAATTTATTAGATTTATGCTACTCACGATTTTTTGTTTTTATCGTTTATGTAAAATCTTTTGACAATTCCTCCTTTATCATCAGTTATACTCCCGAGAAATTCCATAGTTACTCGATAAATATTGACGTTTCGTAGAAAAGGATAATCAAAGACAATTTCGATAGTTTGGCTTTTTTTGTGTATTTGGTGCATTATAGGAACAATCTCATGGTACGTATTATTAGTAAAATAATGAATTTTTGTCGCCGATACATTTATTGCTATATTTTTTGCATGTAGACGTAATACACGTTTTCTATAAATATCTTCAAAAAGTATAGTAGATTTACCATAGAAAATGAAATTGCCTTTTTTTAATCGTTTATAAATATTTTTTTCAAAAAATTTATAAAAATTACTACTAGAAAACGCCGTTTCAAACATATATTCATTTTTGTAGTCATTTTCATTTCTAAATATTACTAAGGTGACGTTATAGGCTATTGGTTTTATTGTTTTAACTTGATGATTAAGAGGTTCGTCCTTGGTACTGTTAGTGGCAAACGTTACTGAGATGAATATTAGGTTAATGCCTAACAATATTTTTAATAATTCCATCATTCTCATTTCCGGTATCTGTAACAACATTTTTTTTTTAGGAGGAAGGAAAGCAAGAGCTGAACGGAGTCTATTGTAAAGTTATATATGGATACAATAGAAAACAATAAAAGATACAAAATCAATTTCCATAATTTCGTTAAAAAAGACCTGTGTAAAGAAACTTTAATAATTTATTTGATATATATTTATACAAACAGTATTAACATAATATGATGGAATTTTATTGTATTTTTTCAAGACTTATGACTTATGATGTGGCTGCAATTTTACGACATTCTTTCAATTACTTATACATTATTGAATTATGTCTTTTTAATCTGTATTTGATTTTAATTAATAATTCTTAGAATAGTTTTTAAATAATTGGATACATTTCTAGTTTAAATAAATTTTGCTATATCATCTTATTAGATACATGTTTTATAAATGATATCTCTATCAATAAAGCATTTTTATTTTTAATACAAATGTAATAAAATATTTTGAATTTTTATAATTAAAAGATTATTGTAATATTTTATCATAATATATGATATTTTAGTAATAATTTGTTGTATTATATAATATTCTCTATTAAATAATAAATATTCGAATTCATTCTTTTAAAGTTATTACAATATTATTTCTTTTTCTATACATACTTTTATGTCTTGTAATCTGTAACTATATATTGTATTGTGTATTAAAGATTAAAAAAAGTTCAGATTTGATATACGTATTTTCTTTGGAAATTAGTGTTTGTTTTACGTATAAAGTATTAGAAATTAACTGGTTCGATTAGAGATTATGAATTAAATGCATAAGTACATATGTATTTCGAAAAATTATTAGGTGTTGGAATTAATTCGTAGCGTTTTACAAGTGATGGGAAGTACTTTCATTAATGTATTTTTTAATGCTCATGTGAAATAAATAACATTCTTTCATTAAAAAACGCTACGAATTAATTCCAACACCTAATATATAGAACATGATATAAGCGGTATTAAATGTTTCTTTCCTTTTTCTAACTTTATAATATAATATAATTTAATAATATAGATTAAATAAATTATTTCAATTACAATTATTTCAAATTGTTATTAACTTTTTATTTGATGTTCAGTGATTCTTTTGTTTAAAATTATTTTTAAATGATACAATACATATTTAAAATTTGCCAACTATGACACACAAATATAAATATACGCCTAAAATATAAGTGGAAGTTCCTTAAGAATAAATAATACAATTTATAAATAGATATCCGCATATCAACAATATTAATGGAAGAAGAATATTAATTGTAAATTGTATTAAGTTTCTTTCAATCAAATTACAAATGCGCGAAAATAAAAAAGCTTTTACTAATTTGTGCTGGCCTGTTCATCTTTATTTAAATTTATATTTTTTAAAATCAAATGAATTTCTATTTTATTTAAAAGAAAATATAATTTCTTTTCAAAATACATTTATTCTTCCAGAATTAAAAAGTTAGAAATTGAAAGAAATAGTGCTACTTTGCATTATTTAAAATATTTTTAAAAAGAAGGACTACAAATGTTTTTTATCCATTACCTTTTATTTTAACATTGTATGATTGACTGTTTTTCGTAGAAATTACTGTTAATAGTTGGCCGCTATTAGTAAGAGACACATATTTCCTTTAATCAGTTTACTTGTCGAGTGTTTACTGAATACTGACGGTGACAATAACTCGTAATCAATAATTCATAATAAATATGTGAAGTCGTGAAAATAATCTGTAAGGTTATATGTATCTTCAATAATATAACAACTAATTGTATGTATCGTGTAACAGATACTTGAGTTACTGGTATAATCAAATTAATTGTTGTTTTTATGTCTCTAATTAATAAGATTAAAAAAAAATATGCATTCGATTAAAAAGTTCTGTGTTCCACATTTAGTATTTTTATTCCTTATAATAAGTAATTTTCTCGTAAAATATATATATATATATATATATGTTGTGATTTAACAGTTGTAATTATTTTCATATTTTATTTATACGTATATGTGTGTGCGCGTATGTTATATAGATTAAATATATGATAAATGTATTAAGCTTTTTTCTCTTTTCGCTTTTCTTTTCGAAAGTAATTCGACATTTTTGTTAAATAAGGAAATTGTGAACCGTTTGACGAAGTAGTAATAATAAATAACAAAATTCTATACATTTTATGATGCATAATATTCAGAGTTTCATATAAATTTATTATAATTTAATCCTACCATTAATTACATTAAATAAAAATAAGAACTTGGTTTATCAATTTTATTAATATAAATTTTGATTAATCTAAGAATCTTACAATTAAATAGCTCTCATATTATATAAGTACATGATCTTTTGATACAACTGTGTCTCTCTTGATGTACACAGGTAGATGATAAATTGTTTATTTTTTGTCGTAAACATAAATAATATAAATACAACTTTTTATAAATGTGAATTTATCATCATTACTATTAATCATTATATATGGAATTTTATAATACATATCAATGTCTAAGGTTTCTCAAATTTGCAGTAGAGCGTGGCATATCGACGATATTGGCTGTGGTTAAAGTCTTACTACAAAGACTTGATGGACTAATTTTGAAGACTTTGATGGCCTAATTAGAAAAAAGAATTTTACAAATTGACCAATTAAAAAACGCTTTAAAATGTTTGTAGCATCGCGTTGACCGTATCCAATTGTCATTTAGATCAAACCTGTCCAATTTAAGTTCCAGAGCTAAAATGTTAAGCCATCGACACAAAAAAATTCAATCTGAGTAAAATTTCGGAGACTGTAAAATATGATACGCATCTGATGACGCTTATCAACACTTTACAGTCTCCGAGATCTTATTCTTATTGAATTTCTTTGCGTCGGTGGTTTTGCATTTTGACTCCGGAGCTCAAATTGGACAGGCCTGATTTAGATCATGCTTGTTGGAAGTCATAAATAAAAAAACTTAGTTACAATTGTTTTTATTTTTTATATAATTTCAAAACTCATGTACTAATTATATTATAATGAAGCCAAGGATATTATTAAATCAGATATTATTAAAAACTTGACGTGAAAATAAATAAATAATTATTAATAAACAAAATATAATTGAAAATAAGAAACATATAAAATAAATAACATATAAAACTTTATTTACACATCTACGCATATGCCTATACATATAAACATATATAAATAATTATACATTTAATATCGTCAATGAAAACTCTCATAAAAAACTCTGAAAAGAATTAATATTTCTCGATTTTTAACAATCATATTTGAACTTTCGTCAATGTAAAAAAAAATTTTAAAGAAGAAACACCTTCTACAAAGCTTACCTAAAACTAAAAATATCGAAATTCATTATCATTACATTAATTTATTCTTTTAAAATATTATTTTCTTTATGGAAAAAGAAAGAATGTAAGAGATATAAATATAGAATATCTCTTATATTTTACCATAAGCGATAAATATATAATATTTATTACATGGAATTTAATATTTATGAAAATATAAATTCTAAATTGATTAATATAGAAATATGACGCAAAAATATTAAAAAGTTAACGTCACTTTTAATTAACATTAATTTTAATTTGTGTATAATTTTGATACTTTAGAATTTCGAAATACGCGATAAACTTATCTTTTAATTGCTGTAATTTACTTCATCATACATTAACTTATTCAACTTGATGATATCAACATAATCAAAATTCATCGAATATTCAAGTGATTTTGATTCTCTCAAGTTTTGAAAACAATCTAATACATTTTTCGTTTCAGACAAGTGATTATCTATTTCGTTTTTTACATCCTTAATTAGATCTCTTTGTTTATTTTTCACGTAATCATTTATCTAAAATAAATTATATTAATATTAACTAACAATTTTGCATTCTATACGATAAAATGAAATAATGTTGAATTTACAATTTTAATATATTATCAATTAATATAAGATAATACGTATAAGATATATGTGTATAGATAAAGATAAACTTAACAATAAAAAGCTAAAAAATGAACGCAGTGCTTAGATTTAAAACATTTTACCATTGTAAATTGTTTTTCGGTGTACATATGTTTAATAATACGCCTTATTACGTCCAAAAAGCTGAGATCTCTATAAGAAAAAAATGAAAGGAATTTATAACTAATTATACATGGATTTTTATAATATACACTGTAGTACATATTGATAAAAAAATATCATTACTTGGGTTTTACTGCTTCAAAATTTGTAAGTATGATAGAAAGCATGTCATCATTGTTTGCATGATATGCAATAGCAGAAAAAAAAATATTATTGTAATTTTTGACTGATATTTCGCGTTTCGATCTTATTATTTTCAAATAGTCCTTGATTATAATTGGTTGCTTAACGCAAGGCAAATATTCTAATATTACAATATCAGTTAGTTCATTGTACAAATTATATATATTATACCAAGTATTAGTAGTGTTTGTTGTCATTAAACTTCCACAGGCTATCCATTTTTTCAATAAAATTTTACTATATAAAAAAAAAAATAAAAATCTGTTATAAAAATTCTATTCTATTTAAATTATTATCTTGTGTCTTGATCAAATAACAAATACAGTGTCGTGTAAAATACAAAATGTAACAATCAGAATCATGTTTAAACAATAAACTACCTGTCTTCAGTAATGGTAGTCATATAGGTTTGTAATTCTCTGTAAGCTGTTTTTCTACAAGTTTCATCACCAAAGAAACATGCCCATTCCGCAGCTTCTTCTCTCAAAGATGTAATATGAATATCGTTAAATAGATTGACGTATCCAATCTTTTCCAGAAGATTGGACACGATATTTCGCATATGTTCCTAAAAATATTTAAATAACAATGAATTTAATGTATCAATTTTTGTTATTGATATACATAAAGAAGCGTCTTTTACGCCTGTGTGAATATCGTTTATTAAATATTTTATTTTATAAATGAATATAATGCTGTTCCAAGATTTACGAGTCTGATCGCGTTATATATATATATGTATATGTATGTATGTACGCACACATACACACAGCATTTAAAAAATTATTGTATACAGCATTTGAAAATATTTAAAAAATATTATTTTTCAATATTATGTACATGTATGTTAATTTAATATATGTGATACTTTTTTATTACAAAGATCTGTTACCTTAAAAGGTGTAGCTTGTGGATGTGAAAATATATTTGAGTGATTTAACATGTTTCTAACAATGTTAAACATAGGATACCATGCTATATAATCTATTTCTTGCGATAGATACATTGTAAGGTTTTTAAACATATCAAAATTTAGTTGTTTCATTATCAAAAAGTAATATGCATCATCAATGATTTGTGCACGATTTACAACATGTATCTTATAATATTTTTTCGAATTTAGATAGTTTGCAAGTCTTAGCCAATTTTCCATATCGTACATGACACGATAATATCCTATAAATAAATAAATAGGAAATTTTAATAATTATTAAATTCTTTTGATTTATCAAAAAATATGTCTGAAATTTATGTATTTCTTTCTTTAACCAAAATGTGTAAATAATATCAAAAATTGCACATATAATTTAAAAATTGCAAAGTACTAATTTCATATACAATAATATTTAATGAGTGCAGTTTTTTTAAAAATTAAACGTAAAAATTAACTGTACAAATTTAAATAGAGCTAAATAATGATTAAATTATATACAATTTAATGTATATAAAATTTAATGTATTTCATTTTACTTGTATTAGGTGTTGGAATTAATTCGTAGCGTTTTACAAGTGATGGGAAGTACTTTCATTAATGTATTTTTTAATGCTCATGTGAAATAAATAACATTCTTTCATTAAAAACGCTACGAATTAATTCCAACACCTAATAACAACTAATCATACGTCAATTTCATATGTTATACATATAGTATAATGAGATATATTATATATTTTGAGCATAAGAAATAAAAGATACAAATGAAACTAAGAAATAATGTTAAACTTAAATTTTAAATGTAACACAGAAATAAAAGCGAAATAAATTCATCGAATATTCACCAAGGTGTTGTAAGTTGACTATAATCCAATTATTCACATTAATTGGTGGTAAATATATAAAAAACTGTTCAGGGGTTATCCAGTCTTCGCAGAAAGGTGTAATAGTAAAATTAAGATTCGTTTCCGTAGTGTAGGTCACAGGTATCCACCATTCGTGCCGTTTAGACATATTGCGCATTTCTGCCCATATTGCCGTGCGACCATCACGATAATTTCGTGTCATTTTCAATATAGGATATTGATTTTGTGTTATCCAAAAATCCATCAGCTTTTTTATGTTAAATTCATTTTTGTGAGATTCGTTCAGAGCAGTTTGCATAGCGGCCCATAAATTATCGGCAGATATTGATTCAACAGGTACATTGCCCATACAGCACAAGTTGCAGCAACATTGCTGCGTTTCCAATGTCATTGAAATATTGCAAGAATACAATTTTCTGATATTATCAATATAATCTACCCTGTATGAATTGAATTTATAAAATTTTTGATACTGTTAACAGTAAATACCACAATAGATTTCATTAAACCAAACAACTTATACTTTACACTTATCCTGTATACTTTTAGTTAATACTTACTGATTGTTTAAATAATTGCAGATACCCTTTCGAAATACTTCGTCAGAAATTATATGATATAACATGCGCAATAAAATGAACGCTACAATGATTAAAGTATATGATAAATTATTTATATATTCTTCGTGAATATGCATAATTTAATTTGAAAAGATTAATTTATATTTTAGATATTTTTTTCTTTTATAGCAAAGTTAAAATGAATTGTAGATAAATATAATGAATAATTCTATTGTAGATAATTATTCTTATTTATTTATGACAATTGATGAGCAGATCGTTAATTGTTTAATTACTTATTTTTACCTTTATTGTAACGGAAAGAAGAAAATAATTTGATGTCGTAGGGTTTTTTAATTTGAAATACAACAGATGGCACATTAGTGATAGATTCCAAATGAAGAGATTCACATTGAGTCCGAACTACGAATAAATTCATCATGCGAAGATTTGTGAAAATCTAGAGACAAACATCTTAATGTAATTAAATGAATGTTTGATTAAAATTAGATTTTCAAATTAGCAATTTATTAAAACAATTTATAAAAATTTCTCGTAAGCTTTTATTATATCATTCTAATTTGTTAAAAACGTCGATTTCATGTTTATTGACTGATTGTTTATTCATTTAAATTTTATAAGAACAGTTGCACAATGTGTTCTATTTTAATAAATAAGCTTATAAAAATTTAAAAGTTTTTCATATTGTGATATCAACAAGCATTTTTCTTTTAACTGCGTCAACAAAGCCAATGTTTAATAGCGCGAATAATACATATGAAGAAGACAACCTTGTCGACGGCATGCATTCCTAAAAACGTTGAAAGGCCTTCGTTTATCCATATGTCAGACCAACTAGACAGGATAATTTTATTAAGAAATTGATTTGCCACTTTACGTGCTACTAAGGCTGAAACTTCTGTCTTGCGCTGAATAGAATTCCATTCTTCAATATAGCTAACAGCTTCTTGACTAAAAAATAATTAATAAAGTTAATACTTTGCATACATTAATCCAATTAATTTGTCAAAACCTTTACCAATTTATTTGTCAAAACTTTATCCTTAAATTTTTTTTTCAAAAAAAAAACTATAAAAAAAGTATTAGGTGTTGGAATTAATTCGTAGCGTTTTTAATGAAAGAATGTTATTTATTTCACATGAGCATTAAAAAATACATTAATGAAAGTACTTCCCATCACTTGTAAAACGCTACGAATTAATTCCAACACCTAATATAATAATGTTTTTTTAAGATTTTTAAGATTTTCGCAAGTATTTACCTCAAAGATACCAAAGAATTTGCGGATTATTACCGTGCCGTGATCTGTATTATAGATCTGTATTATAAATATATTGATAAAGTGATGTATCAGTGCGCTCCTCATCCTGATGAAGTGAACAGCAAGGTTCACGAAATGTTGGCATTATCAATGGATCATGACGCGGAAATAATCAGCAAATCCTCTAGCAGTTTATAAAAAAGTACAATTTATTCTTGTAAAATATATATATATATATACAATATATTACCTATAAAAAACGGTTCCCCAATTTGGCAAGCCGTCATCTCGATAGTATGGAATTGCTATATAATTCGTTTGTGGTATATCATTCAATATATCATTTTGGAAATATGTATCTTTCAAGTATATAGTGGTATTTTCAGCAACGTCCAAAGCAAAATGCAACCGTTTTACTGCTGTTAAACCTGTGCACGACAGCGGAATATATGCCTTCTTAGTATAAGTCGTGTCCAAATCGGCCGCTATAATTGTGACAAGATAGGGGTGCATTGCAGGAGTAGTTCGAAAATTTGCCCTCATCATCTGAGGCTCATTTTCAATGTTCTTTCTGCTTATTACTGGCATATTTGATAAAGCAGCACAACTTCTAGGATGATCAACGATGATTTTAAATGTAGCCTTAAACATTAAATCATTTACAACTGGAAATACATATTGCACTCCGACAGTAGTCTGAAAGTTACCTGCTGAGTAAATCCACCTATCATATTTTAACAATATATTTTATTAATAAAAATAAAATTTGGCTTACAAATATTTAGACAAAGTAATAAAAACAATTACAGGTCAAACTAACAATATTATGTATATAACTACGTACTGATTTTTATAAAATAAAATAAAATACAAACGTTCTGTGACTTCTATCAGATTATCCTCAGTGTGTACGAAAGTAATTTCGAATAATTAAACATATAACAAGTTAGTTATATTAAAGAATTTTACAAGTTAGTTATATTAAATTTTCAAAAACGCTTGCAAAGCTAATATAGATCTCTCTTTCTCTCTCTCTCTCTCTCTCTCTCTCTCTCTCTCTCTCTTTCATTAAATGATATAATTACATTGAACGATGTTTATACACATACACATAACATAACATATATTCTTAATATTTTAATGTGTACTCACTTAAAATTCGATTCATCTTTATAAAAAGTTGTGATAAAGCCATCAGCATCTTCGCAATTACTCATAGTACCATTGTACTTCAGTTTGAGTATATAAGACCCAATCGTTATCAAATCATTAAAATTAAAGGTACAAATAAACAAATCAAAATCACAAGAAAAAGTCGATGATTTATAAATCTTTTTTGATGTTTCGTGAATTAATGTAACCTGTTTATCCATATCTACAAACACTGAATGCAAATTTATTTTCTGCGTAGAATGACGTACAATAATATTAATGTTGGATTCGCCATAGAAAATATATTTTTGGAAAGGCATAGGAAGTGTTAATTTGATCTCATAATGCAATGCTATTATATTGTATGGTAGATAATAATTAACAAACTGATTATCTTCCAAATTTTTGCCGGTAACAATAGTTGTCATAACGAAGAATATTAAATTGCTTTTTAGTAATAGCTTTAAGAATGTCATGCTGTTTATCATTGGACATCTGTAAGTATCTGTATATGTGTTTTTTCTATTAAAAAACCAAGATATTAAGTACAAGATTATTTTAAATAAATTTTTGTATTTAAAAACAGAGGAAAATAATTCGAATAAAATTTTATCTAAAATGCATTTTTATGCATTTTAATTTAAAACATATAAACGGTAATCAAAGAGTTATATATGGAATGTCTGATAAAAATCATATATATTATATATATATATATATATATATTTGAAATATTTAAATATTATTTCTCGATAATTCACCTCTTTTATATCAAACTTACCGATAAGAATCAATTCCGAGTATCAAGACAACGAATTTTATCAACGTGGTTGATCTTAAAATATGTCAACCTAACTGTTCTTGTCGTTTTGAGAGAATACAGAATACTAAACAATAATATAATGCCAGCACCGGCAGCACCTGATATCATCAGAAGTTAGTATGATCATGATAGAATGTAAACAAACTTTAACTTAAGAGTAACCACTTTTTTACGTAAAAATTGCTTAAGTTATTTTTGTTGCACTTCAATTAAATTAAATCACTATTATTGATAATATATTATATATTGTTCATTGTTTCACGATTATTAGTATTCGACAACATCAATGGATGTGAAGTTAATCATTTTCTCAAGAATGTAATAGAAACCAAATAAAAGTCAAATAGAATAAGCAAATAGCTTATTATATAACAGTGTTACTAAAAAATAAAAGTTTAATTTAATATTACTTTTTTATTGCGATTCATAAGAAATAGTTATTAAAAAAGGAAGAAATATATCCAAAAAGAGAAATGAAATATCAGTTTTACAATTCACATTTGCTCGCCGCTGGAATATAAAAACAGTAGACTATTCCTGGGTTAAGAAAGTAGAAAATGATCTGGTCGATAGATTAGAGTATTAGATAGTAACAGTATTTGGACGATATAAGTTTTTCTATAAAATAGAATTAATAAATTTATGATACTCAAATTTTCTAGATATTAAATTAGAATGCAAATATTAGAGAACTAAAATCATGAAGTTGGGCGATACGAAAATTTTTGTTTTACACAGGTAGTACAATATAAATTTTAAATATTAATGAATACATTTTTTCTATTTTTTATAAAGAAACTTTTATTAAATAACATCAATAATTCGTAATTAACATTCTATATACACTTTTATTTATTAATCCATGACAATCTAGTATAAATTAACATTAACGAATAAATAAATAAATAAATAAATAAATAGATAACAATAATTATCACAATCGATGTTCTTTTATGAAATTCTTTAGCGCAGAGTAATGAAAACTGACGAAATAGATGTATAGTATAACGAGGCACAAAGTTTCTTTCTTCTAGAATTATCATGGACGTTTATTATATTATAATATAGGTATATCCTCTTTAGTTTCCTTTTCTGCAGCTTCCTACAATTTTCTTTAAAGATTTGCGTCACTTATTTTATGTCAAATGCAAACAATGTAAGAAAGTGCAGCTAAAAAGAACAGACCTTGTTTATGGCCTTTTTTTACTGAACATCATTTTCCGATGCGCTTGCTAAATCGCTCGGAACAATATAGAGATTGAAATGCGTTCACAATACCCGTAAAGTTGTCGTCAGATTATCAATACTTGTAAGAAATATCAATACTCTTTTTAATATGATATTAATAATTAATAAATTTCACAACATGTCTATTTAAGTATACATTGTCGTTTTAGTGCACTGTTAACATTTCAGTCTGTAACAACTATATTCGCATATAACGTAGAATTCTTATCGTTTGGATATTTAAAGCCCGTGTCACAATGAAGATTGCAAATTGAAGAGTAGAATTCAGCCAATCAGAACAAAATGGATTAAAATTAAAATTAATTATCTGACTGGTCGAAATAATCTCTAATTCGCAATCCTTAATCTCCAATGCGTAGTGTAACACGGGCTTAATGTTTCATGATCGGCAATCCATATCATACTTGGAAACCAATCACATTTCGTTGCATGAATTTCAAGTGTGCCTTCAATATTTTTTTATAATAACTAATATTGAAATGTAAATTTAAAATTACTTGCTATTTTTGAGCAATATGAATTTTTCTCTCAAAAACCATTTTTCATAATAAATAATTTTATAAATGCAAAATTTATAATAAATTTTTGTAGGCGGAGCAGATAAATAATTTTTCATATTCATCATTTCTATTATATATAGTAATAATGTAGCAATTTGCACAAAGCAGTCTACTCGTTTTGAAACTAAAATTTTTTTTCATAATATTAATAATATCATCTTATTCAATTTAACTTGAAAATAATAAATAAATATAAATAGAAATTATATGCAAATAAATTCTCTGTGAATACCAGAGTACTAAAAGAAATTATTTGTGAAATTCAAAATTTAGCGAATACGATTATACGTATAAACTGTCTAACTTCAAATCATTAATTTGTGGACATTTCGACAAGACTATCTTTGAGTCTTCTTATGCGTGAGTTTTTGTAGTTTTGCTTTCAATCCGTGCGGATTTAATTTTACTCTTACAACTTCGGGTTTGTTTTCGAACTTTTTACGAATTGCCTCCAGTCGTTCCTTTCGTATTCGTTGCTGTTCCCTCTTCCAGATATCCTGCAAAATACTAATCTGTTGTAATTTGCTCGATCAATAATTACAGACGCTGTAAATTATACCTTAAAGTCACGACAGAAACTAAGCCACAGATTAAAGAAGTCGTAAGGTTCTGCAGTCTCCAGAGTGGAGCCTTTAGGAATAAATTGATAGAACTTCATCACAGCTTTGAATTTGTTTTTAGCCTCCAATAGATCTTCTTTTTCGCTTGCCAATTCGGTATTCGCCCTCGATAGAAATGAATCTACTTTCTTTTTGAATATTTTAGACGTAGATGGATCTGCTTCCACAATTGTACTACACATTTGTGCACACGCTAAAACAAATTAATTTCATATATCGTATATTTATGATATATGAAATTAATTATAAATTATATGTAAAGCTGATTCAAAGAAAGCAAACGAGTGCGAATAAATAAAAAAAAAGTAATTACTTCAATGAGTACAATTTCATTATTTACATCCGTTTTCTTCATCTAGATTCGGATTAATACAAAAATAGTAATTGTACACTATTGTTAAAAAATTTAATTTTTTGAAGTATGTAATATTAAGGTCCAGTTCCACAACTCATGGTTAACTTTTAACCAAGGTTCAACTTATTTTTCATCTCTTTTCAATTCTAGAATTGGAAAGAGACAATGAATAAGTTGAACCTCGGTTAAGAGTTAAGGATGGAAATTCCATAAGTTATGGAATTGAGCCTAAAAGGATCAAAAATAATTTATATAATATGTATAAAACTTGTATATATTCATTTATATAATATTAATATCATATAAATGAATTAGAAGAGAAAATATGTAAATTTTATCAAATATTTTAATAAGAAATCTGACATACACACACAAATGTAATTATAATGTACATTCCTTTATATATTTTATGTTTACCAAATCCTTAAGTAAGATAATACTTTATAAACAGAAAAATAAATATAGAAAATATAAAAATAAAGAATATAAAAATAGAGATATAAAAATTTTTGATTGGCTAAATACTGGTAATATTATATGTAACACTCACATTGTAATTCTCTATCCAATCTATCCAGTTCTTTAGCGATCTCATCGAATTTGATTGTGGATGCCGCTTCTACGTCAGCCGGTTCAGGCACAGGTAAAGGCAATAGCTCATCGAAATTATGTTCCTTTTCCTGGGACAATTTTGCATTGACGACGTAGTGCAACAAGGTGACGCCAGGTACGTTGGACTTCACGTCTTTCAATTTGCCGAGGATTTCTAGGCCAAAGCCATCAGCCTGACCGCGCAGCATATTTCCACCATTCATATAATTGCCCAAAGTCAGTATGATCGCTATTACTTTTTTTAGAGGTTCGGAATTGATCAGAAAATCACAAGTAGTTCGCACATTGTTCAATTTATACGACACTGATGATATCGCATCCTGGAATTCCGATTGCAACATCAGGCAGGCTATCCTTTCGGAGAAGTGCTTTATACCGGACAGCCGTTTGAGAAATAATTCTGGTTGATCGAGAGGAATGTCCGGAAAAATTGCTTCATGAGCTGCAATTTCTTCTATTTCCTTTTGCGTCGGTTTCTGCAAAGAAAATATCAAAATTCGAAATTTTCGGAAATTAATTAATCTATTAGAAAATAAAAAAAATTGTATTTACGAATATATACTTCATATTTTAGAATTTTTAATTCTATTTTTATCTCACGAGTTACTCACAATTTCGTAGATCTGTTGCAATGCTTCTAAACTAATCACGCTCGTGTCTAAATTATAAGCCGCATTCTCGATCTCGCTAAAATCAATGTGCAGACTCTTTTCAAGGATTCCGACCATCTTTGAGCGTTTCGAGTCTAATATTTTTGCAGGTTGGATCTTAGAACTTTTGAGAGGTGTCCCTTCATTTTTCTTGGTCGGATTCCTTTCTCTCACCTGCCTTGAAAATAAATTAGCGA